GGGTTAGTAAATCTAGTAGTAGGGACTTGCACCAGGAAAAAAAATGTCAGTAATTCTAGTGTTAGGATTACCTCTGCTCTTTGCATCCAGATGAGAAAAATAAGCAGCCCTCGCATCTCTAATTGCATTGTTAAATTCAATTCAATTCAATTTCTTTATTGTCCCACAAGGCTAAAAGATCTTTTAAGTAAAAGAGATGAACATTTAAATGAGTTTTCCTCCATAAGCGCTCAGCTTTACGACAATCACGTTTTATGGAGCGGATATTGTCATTTAGCCAGGGTAAGGACTTGGAAACAGAAACTGGTCTCATTTTAACCGGACCGATTTCATGTAAAATCGAAAACAATGGTTATTAAATAGATCTGTTAAGAAATCAATGCCGTTTTGCGGGGATAGAGTTAAATTAAAAGCATCCGAGAAATTCTACGCTGTGGAGGAATTTATGATGCGTGAGATAATTGTCCAATGAACAGGAGACAAAGGCTCATGAAAAGACATGTTAAAAAGAATACAGTGATGATCAGAGATAAAAATGTCCTCAGAACAAATAAAATCAATATTCAAACCCAAAGTAAAAACAAGATCCAGGGTGTGTCCTTTGTTATATGTAGGGCCTGACACATGCTGGGTAAAATGAAAAGAATCCATAATGTTGATAAAACCTCTGGCAAAGAGGTCAGAGTCGTCATCAACATTTATGTTAAAATCCCCAACTAAAAGCAGTCTGGACAACCTCATAGTAGAGGACAGGAAGTCGCTGAACTCAGATAAAAACAAGCTATTTGGGCCAGGTGGATGATACACCACAGCACAATAAAAAGGATCCTTATTTCCGATTTCAATCAGCTGTAGTTCAAACGAAAGAAAATGTCCAATATTCACGGAGCAGTAGGAGAAACGGCCCTGAAATGCCACAGCGAGACCTCCTCCGCGACCAGATCCCTGAGGCTGGCTGATGACGGAATAGCCGTTCAGGCACAGTTCAATATGGGACGAATAGTCCAAGTCCCGCTGCCAGGTCTCAGTCAGAAATAAGAAGTCCAGTTTTTTAGAAGATATAAAATTGTTAAGAACAAACGATTTATTGGTCAAATATCAAGCATTAAAAAAATATATGTTAAATATAAATGTCCTTTAATTTTTGAGGAATATTACAGTAGAGGTGGATGAAACATGGCCCAGAGGTACAGTAGGTGTCCCAGAGGAAGCATGTGTTGAAAGTTGGACATCAACTACCAAGAATGATTTGAAATTATTTTTTTTGAAAATGACATAATTGTATTGTATTGACTGTATTGCATTGAGTAAAAGTGTCCTTTATTTTCTAAGGAATATTACAGTA